TAAATTTTGGATTTGGTCCGTCACCAGGCAGAGAAGTGCAGCCATTGATGGGCTTCTAAACAGAATCTCCCACTCGGTCCTATCCTAAATCAGAACTATTTATTGTGGTACATTTTTTCTAGCTTTGTTTTAGGTAAATTGCCTATGAACACTCTCAAACTTTCTTATGGTTTTGAGATACCTCTTTTTTATTTTTCTTTTGGAGGGTGAAAGAGGGAGGGAGAACTTCCAAGCATTTCACAAGTGCCAGTACTGCATTCTTAGTCTTTTAAAGTCATCTGCACTGTGGGCTGGATATTGATCAACAATTCCACGTTTCCATAAAACTGCTTCCTGTGAAGCTATAGAAAATGTGAGGGGACAGAGAGAGTTGGTTCAGCATTTTTTTCCAGTGCAAATATTTGCATATGCATTTTTTAAATTTTAGATTCATTCACAAATTTAAGCATGTAATTTCTCAAACTTATGCTTCCCCTCCCAAAAACAGCATGTGGAAATGAATGTTCTCCTGTTGCTGAGAATAAGTTCTCTCCAAAGAGATTTTGATTCCTGCAGAAGAGTTTTGAAGCTTGTCCTGAATGACTTATTCCATTTTCTGCCAGCTCATGTTGCAATTACAAAGAACACAGCCTAAATTGGTACCTGCATGGACCTCCTCACTTAAAAAACAGACAGCTTCTGCCTCTTAGCAGAAGTCATCTTTTGAATGTGCAGATTCCTACTTACAGTAACTCATGGAACTGCTTCGTGAGAAAAATGACTTTTTTTTTAATGCTCATTTCAAATAGAAATATTTTCATTGCTAACAAAAGGGACTTTGATGCTTCTCATGGATTATTTTTTTAATTCAAGTCCTCAAGAACTGCATACAACAGCAGTGAGAACCAGCTTGTTGTGGCTGGGAGCTGTGGTATGCCACAGAATATTTCAGCATTTCACATTTTGACTCATCATAGTATTTCTTCTGAAATACGCAAAAATTATTATCTCATATGGTCATATTTACCATTCTTAATACGAGGAATTCCTTGGCACAAATCTCAGCTTATAAGTGATTTCCAGATGAAACTGACAGAGGCAAGAGCCACAACATCTCACTTTAGGCTTCTCTGGTCTAGCTGCTATCTATTTGTAGCAACAAGAAAATATCTAGAGCAAGAAATGGAAGAAACAGAACTTCATACATTACAGCGAAAAACAGCTGAAAAAAGAAAAGACAGCAGATACTATTAGGCAAGATTTCCCATGGATGTGGCTGCCCACCCCAACCCAAACTGAATCTATACAGCAGTAACATCTAATCAACAAGTTTTTTATCTTCAATCAGTGACTAGCAGGTTTAGAAACAAGCTGAGACTTTCAGAATAGAGCCTAAATATAATGTAGGTGAAAGATAAACAGAATTAACTTAGTTTTTGTTTTGTTTTGTTTTTTTTAAAAAAAAGCCCAGGGTCTCTGAATTAAGAAACTGAGAGTATAAAACTGAAGATAAGCAGAAAGATTTAATTTCATTTTGTGCATACATTGCAGATCTTGCTAAAGGTGCAAGGCTGCCCAAATTTAGATATCACCTGGAGGACCAAAGGAGTAGTTTCAAAGCTAGGGCAGCTGGACCAAATCTGCTGTTGACACTTGCACTTCCCACTAAACTAGAGGCAGAGGTTTGGATCTGTCCTTGGAATCACTGTATTTTGTCATTTCTGGAATAAGCTTTTCTCTGATTCTCTGGTTCACTGAAGATTTCTGAGATCTTTTTGCTACCACTTGACTTCAGTTGAAAATAAGGAGAGTAGGAAATATTGCATTTCCCATAAAACAGAACTTTCTTTTTGGCTGGCTCTGTCACTCCTCACCATTCTGTTTTTCCGCCCCTTCTTGGGGCTCTAGTACCTGTGGCTATCTTCCCAGAGCTGCTGCATTGCAGACAGAGCCATCCTCCTGCCAACACAGCTTGGCCTTCACAGTTGGTCCTTTAGATCATCTTGTTTTTATCTCCCTTGCCTAACACTGACTTTCCTTTTGGTATCATGACACAATAGGATTTTCTGGGCCAGTAGAGGAATTCCCATACATTTTAAGAATCGTGCCTTAGCAAGAGAGATTTTTTCTTTCCCGCAGTACTAAACAGGAAAAAAAATACATGAAGGGTTTCACTCCCCCTGCAACTGCATTGAATTCAATCTGAAATTTTACTCAGGGACTCTGTTACACACAGAAGGAGGGAGAAATGTCTAGATTAGGAAAGAAATTATGTTGACTCCAGCTGGGGCTTCCCAGACTGAACTGAGACCTCAGCTCAGACTTCTGCTCTTCCAGATATCACCTGGACAAACTAACCACCATCAGTGCTTTGTCTTCAAAACTTACAGTTCCTGGATAATTCCTAGAGCAGAACAGATCTGGGGGACACAGGTTTTGAGGTTTGTGGGTGCATGAGCCTCAGAGTTAACAAAAATGTTCCCATAAATGTAAAACTTTTTTCTACCACATTCAAAATATGTTTGTGTGTCAAAAGCATGCCATACCCTTTATTACTGTTATTTAAGCTTCTCCTTAAACAATTGCCCTGTCTCAAGTGCAAATGTGGCAGACATCATTCAACAATTGTAAAACCAATATATATTACACCTAGCATTGTCAGTTTAAGGTCACTGGGAATATATTTGCAAGAGGGTGTTTACCCATGATCTGTGAGCTGATATGCTCGCACTTCCTCTTGCTTTCTCACCTATTTAGTGTTGTTCATAGAGTAATCCTTTTCATAGGTAGTAGCTAGTTTTTTTGTTTCTTCCCTTTAAGAATTTTACTCCAAAATCACTCTGTATTTCTCTGTTGACTGTCTGGCACTGAAAAATACTAATGTTTTTGCATTCCCCCTGTCATCTGTGCTCAGTGATATGTATCCAGAAACTTCCAGGTAAAGAATGACTAAATAAAATGTTGAGGTAAAACTTCAAGGAAGTTTCGAAGACTTTTTACCTCCTTCAGAGGAAACAGGATACACTGGAGGCGTTCAGTGATTATGAAAAGAGCTTCTTCACTGTCCCTAGACATTGCAGCTAGTCTCTACTGCATTCCCAAGAAAGCAGCTGACAAGAAGCTCTCTCCATACCAGGCATAGCATGCACCCAGAAAAAACAGGGAAGGCCTCGCAATGGGGGCAGCTGAGAGGTCAGTGCTTGTCTGACAGGTTGAAAGAAAATGCTCATGTGTTAGCTGAATTTTTGCCTTCTGAAGTTAAAGCAACAAGCACTTTCTCTGTGACTCAACACAAAACTAGCAATTTGTACTGAGTTTTGACAGCAGATTCCACAAGTCACATTCTAGCGCACCTGCATCACAGATTATGGTGCACCTAGTGGTGAGTTCACATACAAAACCTTTTGCAGGGTATCTGTTAGGCAAAATATTGCATGGAAGATCCGTGTAAGAGAAAAAAAAAACATATAGCTTAGTAATAGCAACAGAATCGAGACAACATAATTTGATTGCCTCCCTCCACCCCACACCCCCCCAGACTCTGATGGAATACTTGTCTCATTTCTTTGAGGACACACAAGGGCCAGTACCTTGAACAAGACTCAGTGGCACTTCCCACAGTGACCTCAGCCAGTGTGAAATAGCTACTTCCTCACAATATAAAGGTTACAAAACGCAGACAAGCAAAAATTTTACTTGTCTTCAGCCTCTCCACAGACTTAAGTCAGTTAGGTCAGGCAGCATAAAAACAGGATAATAGAAGGGAAAGTGTGAGCTCTATTTTTACTGCAATCAACACAAAGCAAGTCCTTGGCTGAGGATGAGGGTATACAAGTTTGGTAACCTACTGAAACTTTTGTTTCCTTTAATAGATAAATGCACATGCTTCACAATACTTCCCCTGTAAAGCTGATAGTATCCTAAACTATCATGAGACTTGAACTGGATTCATATGTGTTTGTGAGATGTCCTATAAGGATACTTGCTTTTTGCTGATGTCATTAAAGGCATTTTCAGTGCCTGTGCTCATGTACTAAAATATTTGATTCAGTTATTAGTGTTTAGGGCTCAAGGGTGTGAGCCACATGGCAGTGATGTTAGTCATCTCCTGTTTCAGGGCAGTGCATATATTGACGCTGCCAAATCCAACTTTTCAGTGATAAGCTGGTTCTGGGCAGTTTTCTCAAATTTATGAGTACTTGCAAACTCTTAAAGCTCATTTCACCCATCCTGAAGAAAGGTTTGGAAACTGAAGAAAAAAAAAATAGGGAAGTTACAAAGAAAAAAAACAGCTATCTATTCATTATGAGGTAGTTATTTACCCAGCCTACCAAGCTGGAAGCCAGCTCTCTTTACAAGTCCCAGTCACACCACAACACACATTTCAATAATGCTGGCTTTCTGAAATGGAGATCCTGAGCCAGCTCTCAACTCTGGAGTGTGGGAGTAGTCACCCCAGCTTGGAGTTCAGCCTCAACTCTCAAGTCCGTGCAATGAGGCAAAATAATCAAGCAATCAGACTGGTGAAATTACTGCAAATTGTGTGGTCCCGGTAACAAGAAGTCTTGCCCCTTACTAACAAGGATAGCTAGTTCTCAATATCTGAACCAACTAGATCACAGCTAAGTAAAAGGAATTTGTACTTGTCTCCTTTACTATCAAATTACTACCCTAAGCATTTGGAAAGAGTGCCTGTTCTGACAAGGCATTGGTACTTGGGTCTTGTACAAGATGAAAATCTGACTAGAGAAGAAAATAGCTATTTACTACAATTTTCTAAGGGCCTTCAACTCTCCAAAGGCCAGCAACTCCCCAGAGAAACCTGGCTTTCTATTTAACCCTTCCAACCACCATTCCTTTTTCACAAGAGTCTTACTTTTTCTTTAGCTAATGAACAAGGAAGTTGAAAGATTGCTCAAAGTTTGTCTCTTAAAAATCCAGATGGTTCAAACTGAGCGTAGAAATTTTAGTGTGGGCAACAACCACAACCACATGCTCACTAATGGTCTTCTCATCATGCCAAGTATCTCTTCTGGTCTTGAAATTCTTTCTGAAGTACCTCCCATAATTCTCTTCTGGATATTGAGTTAAACAAAGCCACACCTACTCAGAACCAAAAAACTTTCCTCGTTCTAATAATGTCTACTGCATGAGGTCATTTTGCAGAAACCTCATTGGAGTTATTCAAGTGTGTTCAGTTTACTCAAGGATTGATATCGGAAGCTTCCTTTCTATATAAGACCTTGGACAAGATGAGCTTTCTACAGACTATCTCCTTACTGGAAGCCTCATAATTCTGCAAGAATGGTGAGTCCTTACATCTTATAATGTAAAGGATAATTATAAGTTGCTACAGATTTTCAGAGAGATATTGTTGGGTTTACTTGAGCACTCAAAGATCTAAGTAACTCAAAACTGAGTTTTGAAAACAAAAGTCAGACATACTAGGACAGGCAGGTAGGAACCTTGTGTAAAAGATTTCAGCATTTACAATGCAGGAGATGTCCAATAGGACTCCAGATGAAGGCATGAGATGTTCGAATGTAATCAATTTTCTGGCAGAAAGTAGCTCTGGCCATCACTTTTATGAAGAGTCAGGATCATATTTGAATGTTTACCTAAACTCCAAAATGTTATCTTGATTTTTAGTCATTTTTCAGATCAAGTACAGCCACATTCTCCTCACACAAAAGAATGTATCTCAGTAAGAATTAAAGTTCTGCTTTCTTCTTTCAAGAAATCAGAATATTTCAGTGAGATATGCTTAAATTCTTGATGTAGCTCTTACAGGTTAGGTATGACTGTTCCCAGCTCTGTAGTATCCCTAAAGGCCTCGCAGACAGAGTCATCCAACTAGCTCCATTCTAGCATGGTTCTGTAAATTTCTACCAAAATCCTGCTTTCTGGGTCCAGATCAAGTAGCTGCTTTAAGTGACATCTACAACATCATTTTTCAACTGAATTTACTTTATCATTGTTTCCTGTATTAAGACTATCTGCTCCATTCCATGGCACAGTTCAGTCTATGAAGAAATCTGAGAAATGAGAACAGGTTCTGAACATGAGTGATGTATTAGTACTTTGTACCAGACTTGTCTAGGATGATCAGATGCTCATGATGCTTATGTTTGTGTGACTGTCAATGCCATGGGATGAACTATCACAAAATACAAATTACTTTATGGATTTCCTGCCTTCCATTAAAATCCCTTGTTTGCAGTGCTCAGGTTTATCTTATCCTTGTCCCTTCAGGAATGTCTGTCAATTCGTGTTTAACTTTTCCTCTGCAAAATTAAATGCTTGTTTATCCTTCCCTCCATATCTAAGGTATAACTTATTTTTAACAAGTCACCAGTTCTACTTTATCCAAAACACATAAATGCACATATACACACACAAAACACAGGAAGAAAGAGTGACCGTTAAGAGCCACATCACGGTTAAGAACCATGACAGAGAATAACAAGAGAAAGGAGTAAGGAGAGGAAAGGAGTAGAACACATTCTCTGTACAGTTTACTTCCATAGACAGTAACTGAGTCTACCAGTCCTGGATCAGGCAACACTTGATTTTAACAGTTGGAAAAGACAGACTTTTTTTTTTTTTTAAACCCAGTCTCAAATGATGCTCTCCCTCTATGTCTTCTAAATGGTTTGATATTCCTGATGATGTGTTAAAGTGTCTAAAACACAAATGACAACTGGATTTTCGTTCAAAACCACAATGTATTTTCCTGCTTCTTATAGCAATATTTACCATCAGTAATTTTCAGTATATGCTTCAGTATTTGCAATAATTGTGCTTTCCTCTTCAGAAAACCTTCTTGGCCTGCCTTCTTGTTCTTTCTGTTAGCGTGACAGCGTCCAATGCTTCCTGCTACTTTCTGCCATTGAATCCAGTGAAGCGTGGAGATGAGATTATAGGTAAGAAGCCAGCTGTCCACATCTTGTCATACTGCCCCACAAGCACTGCCTGATTGGATTTATCTAGTTGGTGCAATCTATCATAATTTAAAAATAAGTGGAAACAGTGGAGAGAAACTCCTGGGAGGAGAGTGCTGTATGGAAAGAAATGAATTTACAATATGTTATAAAAGAAATTTTCAAAGAAATGTGGTACAGGCCAAATTACAAACGGATTTTGTCCAGAGAAGTAGCAAAGGTTTATTTTATACACCTGCATATGATGTATTTTTTCTTGTTTTTAGTTTGAAAAATAGGAAAATAAGTGATCAAAAGTGGCATGCAACAAGAGCTGATTTGTATCAGTGTGCTAAATAAAACAAGAGACCCTAGATAAACCTTTTTTACCTCCACTTGGAAAAGCTATTGGTACTAGAAGAAAAAAAAGAGCTCACAATGACAAAGAAAGAGAATACATTTGAAGACGCTGGCATAGCCTAGAGCTCCCAAATCCTCTCCTCACTCAAGCACAGTCCTTAAAGTTTTGCTTTCCAAATCACCTCAAAATTTATTTTGTGAATGTTAGACAAGAACTTTATATCCACTACATGCTTTCTTCCTGCAGCTGAGGATCAGAAAGAATTTTCCAGGGAGATTTAAACATGTTCTAAACGATGAGTTAAGAATAGTTAGTGATAATGGTGGGGTGTAGCCAAAGCCCTTGCATACTTCTGATCAGGTCTGTGCCTCGTTTTCTTCCTGCTTGGGGCACCTAGTTCCAAGACGAGCTATTCTAAGAAACTTGATGCTGCTGAGTACAGTGGAAAACAGCAGAGTTGAGGATACTCTTTTTCCTTGATTTAATACAATAGTAGTCCAGCTCCGTTATTGGAGAATTCAACAGAGCTCCTATAGAAAGCGTGCAGGCGATAGCATTGTTAGTGCAGTAAGTCTGACTGCTGCCTGCATGCTACGTTTTCAGGCAGCTATGACAAGAAGGGAGAGCCACATGAATTCAATTCTCATTGGAAGACTGAAGACTGCTTAGAGTGCTCCTGTTTAAAGTTTGGGATCAGCTGCTGCACCACGTAAGTTCAGAGCAGTGGGGTTCTCTCCACTGGCACAATGTGGCACAAAGCATTTACCTCACACATGTGTCCCTGAGAAACCAAAAGGACCCTCCTCTCATTCACTCCCTTCATATCACAAAAATGAGCATTAACCCAACATCAACACTGAACACACAAGAAGTTCCTCTGAAAAATAGAGCTCAGGTTTAAAAAAAAAAAATTTTGAAATAACAAAAGGCAAAAAAGGGAATGGTTGTGAACGGGCTAAAATTTCAGATAAGATACTTATTCAAGAGAGAACATTTGGTGACTTAAGAGTCTTTTACCAGTGCTAATTAAGACCTTTCCAAGCACAAATTGCCTCTTTTGTCTCTGATGGGCAGTCAGCCACACACTGGCCTGCCTATAGTATTCATGTGACTGCATGCTGTGGCAAAACAGAAAAGCAATGATATTGGAGTAGCAAGTAAACATGACAAGCATCCTGTGGATATAAATCAAATCAGTAAACTATAACTCCACCCTGCTCTTATTTAAGCAGCAGGGCGAGCAGCCTTTTGCTGTCAGCTTCATATAAGCTCCCTTTTCTATCATTAAATAACATCTCAGCATCACCTCTCCAAACTACAAGTGTAGATGCCAGATGGAAGCCACTTCCTTCTTGCCCTAATCATCTGCTCTTCTTTTCCCAATGACAGCTATGCAAGACCAGTTAATTTTGACGAAGAGAAATGCATAAGCATATTCAACAATACTGCCTGTGTTTATGAAGTAGTGGAGAAAGCTGATCACTCAAAAACATGCGAAGTACATGAATGGATGGGCTAACCAAGGAGAGGCATGGATGTGGGGGAGACACCCTCTTTTCATTTCAGGGGTTCTCTCTCACAAATAAAAAAAAAAAAAAAAAAAAAAGCTGAAGAATGCAACCATAGAGTAAAGTCTACTGAGAAGATTCGTAAGTGATAAAGCAGAACCTAAGCACATAAGATTCCCTGTTTCTCTGCCTTCTGCCTCTCTGTGCAGCAAGAACTAACTTATTACTTCCTAGATATCCAGAATTAAAGCTGACCTTAAGGATCAGCAGCAGCTGATTATTTTGATTTTCCTTCCATTACACTTCAGTGCCAAGGAGTACATTCTGTTACCCACACACAGCTATGTTTTAAAGCTAAAAATAAAGCTAGATGAAGCATCAAAAATTTGTGTGAGATTTTTTTTTTTTTTGGGGGGGGGGGGGGGGACATAATCTAAAGAATCAACCAACCAAAAAAAAAAGGGAAAGCAATGAAAAGCAGTTAAAAAAAAACAAAAACAACAGAACACTTGTCTGAACATTGCCTTTCCTAAGACTATTTCTTTCATGATAACCATTTGTACTGCTTGGCTCCCTAGAGCCTGCCCAGCCTATGGACTGCAAGAAGCACCATCTACCCCACTTACCCACAGCACAACAGTCCCAGTTCTCAACCACGGGCCTGATTAACCCTAAAAGAATTCAAGTTTCTAAATCGGCCAGTGCTGTGAGTTACGTTCAGGAAAAATGCAAGCCAGAAAATGAGAAGAGTACACGTGTAACAGTAACCAAAGAACAATGCACTCCAATTACATTTCTGAAGGCTATGCTATATTTTCTCAGTAATTGCAAAGACTTCCTGGGTCACTATGCCTGTTTCTGAAGCCTTGAATCATCAAATTCTTTAACAGCCAGCACCTTTTTGATCAATGCTGCAGCCTGAATTCAATCAACTTAGAATTGTGGCCTACTTTTAATGGAAGCTAAACTTTGTGTTTATGGCTTCTGTAGAGAAGAGATCAAGTTCTGTGCAATCTTCCCAAGAAAGAGACCACTTTCTCCCTTCCTGCTGGTTTTCTCTCAACCTCAGTTAGTTACTTTCCTTCATTACTAGAAACTTTTTTCCACCTCCAGTTTTTCTGAAGGCACTTACATTCTGCTACAGACCATGATCTGATCCCTGAAATAGAATGAAACCCACCTAAATCCATTCAGCCCTGAGCTCCCCACCATGCTCTGAATCTTGCTGGCTGTGGCTCTGTCAGACAGAGCTGGAGCAGATGAGGCATCCCCTTATGTAACCTTGTACAGTTGCCCAGAGGCTGAGTGCGTTGCAGCTCCTGAGTCATTTCAAGCTCAAAAGACATGAGAGAGAGTTTAAAAAACAAACCATTACCCTCTCCTGAACTTGCAGGCACCATCAGCTTATAGAGAGGGCATATTCACAGAGCACAGCAAGTCTTAAGAAAGCTATGCACCCAAACTCTAGAAAAATTTGCCTTACTGTCATACTTATGCAGTCCCAACCGATTTAACCACATCCCAAATGCACTCAGATGCCTTCCTCCATCATTTGCCGATTGTTGATATAGTATGAGGATCTACACTACTTGTCATGGGCGCGGGGGGGCGCGCCGGCGGGAGAAAAAAAGAGATTTGTTTTAAGCCTAAACCAAAAAGTCTCCAGAGAGCTGTTCTCTTCTTGTCTGCTCCAAGTTCCAGCACGGAAGCAGATGATGTGATGACGTTACCTATCACATCTCATTTCAGACACCAGAAGCACAGCAGGGACTTGGCTGTCTTCTCTAGGAGGAGCCAAGCTGTGGGAGAATGACAAAACTTTCCAAACTGAGAAAGCAGAAGCACAGAGAAGAGCTCTGCTCTTCATCGTTTGTCCAAGTGTTTTGTCATGACATTTCTCCTCTTAAATGTACACAGCTACTGTCCCCTACAAAGAACACATCCCCAGCTCAGGCCCTTGTGCTTCAGGTGATAGTTCCACTAGCTCCACATAGAGAGAGGAAACATTCATGTAAGAGTTTCCTGTAATCCTTACATTAACAAGAGGCTGCAGAACATTGGGAGCCTGGCACAGCCCCAGGAATAGACTGTGTGCTTGCTCTCTTCCACCCCTTTCCCTCCACACACCTAATGAAGCACTCCCACTAGCTCTCTTAGAAATGAGGTAGAATTTTAGGGGGGCCCTGATCCCTCCAATTGTAGTAATTCTTTTCAAGACAAGACTTTTAAATATCAGTAAGATGTTCTTGCCCTAAAATGAAATGTAATGTTTATCTTACCAAATAGCACATTTTAAACCCAGCACCAGAACACACATGCCATAATCTAAAAGTTTTCCTATTAAAGAGCATATGTGAAAAATCTAGAACAAGGAATGCACATATTTTATTTAGGTTATACTTAGTGGAGAAGCTAGGTAGTTACAGATCACATTCTGCTTTGTTCTATTTTTTAAATGCAGACACATTCAATTTATTATAGTTCAGCTTTTTCACTTTGTTCTTCATTAATGCATCTATTGGTATGCAGGAATATTTGTCTTGGCACCTGTTGAATGCTTCCAAACTTCTGTTCAAATCTATTGCGTACTTATTTCTCAGAACCATGCTGTGGTTTATTAAGGGCAAAATGATTGGCTTTATAATAGCAATTTATATGAAACTTAAGAACACACAAGTTATATGATCAATCTAAAACACTCAGTAAGACGTATCCCCACCCCGAAATTCTACTTTGACATTGATTTTCTTTCAGCATATAACTCTGTAAGACTGAGTCGTAACAGAAACATTTACAAGAGTAACACTTTGAATTTCAGTATCTGTTTTGACTGTGTGTTCAGTATCAGGGAACTCTTCCACAATCTTGAGCAGGAAAGGGTTTGAAAGTTAGGATAATCAAAATCATATCAGAAAGAAAGCAGAAAACTAGTGCTACTCCACCTGGTGCTCACCAGCAGCCAGAAATTGCAGAGAAGTTCTAACTGACTTCCCAGCAAGTGTTACAAGAAGTATCAAGAACTTAATACAGCAGATTGCTCTATTCCTCTTTCTCTGCTATGAAATCACTAGATGGCATCCTAGTTCTACAACAGTGCTCCTGGGCGTGAAGGAAAGGCTGGTCAAGCAAAATCTACAGAGAGCATGGAAACCTAAAGCCTGGTTCTTCTGTCTGGCAGATCTGAGCTTAATTTTCGTTTGTTCTAGAGGGGTTTAAGAATGCAAGCAGCTTTTTAGAAGTATCTTTAATCTATTAGTACAGAGAGAAGCTTCTGAAGAGGTCATCAACAGGACTGAGTTGGACTTGAACCCATCTTTGGACTTGGCCTGTCTATTGTTATCACTTATACACAAGAAAGAAAGCTCAATGATAATTCTACTCCAAAGAGTAGAATACTCTTTATTCAGGAATTACATGTGTTAGATCTCTAACTTTTAACAGAGAAGAAACACACGCACAAAAAAAAAAAAAAAAAAAAAAAAAAAAAAAAACCATACAAAGACAAGAGTTTGTGATAAGACTGATCTCATTCTTTAAAATCTGTGGTGGCAAACCTCCTTACATTCTTCTCATCAAAACCTGTACTTTTACCATACCTATTTCTGACTACATTGCCCCTTTTTTCCCCCCACTGTAATTTTCTTGCCTTCTAGAGTAGAAAAAAGAAGATTCCAGAAAGTAATTTTTGCCCTGTTGACAGATTTTTTGATAGTTCATGCTATGAACCACAGTCTGTGCCAGATTTAGAAGTTTCTTGTGCATTGTGTTAGTGCAGCATTCCTTAATTTGGAAGGTAACAGGCTCTGTTTGCTAAGTCCTCTGCTCAGGTCCTAAGGTTGTAGTAGATCACAACACTTAGCTACAATCAGGACAAAGTTCAGCCTGTAGCCCTGCACCCTGAGATTTCCAGCCAAACTCCTCAGAAGCATTAGTTTCAGGAGACAGAGATACAACTGCTTGTCTACCAAGTAATCCTGGGCAATTCTTTCTCCAGAACTAGCAGCTCAGAGCTGATAAGACCATGGGCATTGGCTGGAAGGAGCAAGTGGCAGAACATCCATCCCATTTACAGTTCAGAATGCATTCATGCCATCAGCTGCTGCCACCATTCTCCCCAGCACTAGTTTTTGAGAGTTGCCAGTCAGGAAACAATTCTGTGGACTATCTGGGAACTACAGCATACTGACATACTGCAATTTGACTGCATTATTTTATTAATCAGACATATTTGCAAAGCCATGGATAGAAGTAGGATCCATAGACATGATTGGCATACCACCAGCAAGAGGAATAAAAAGAGATTTAAATCAGGGGTAGATTACTGGAGCTGCTACCAGAGTCCTGAGACTTTGTGACATCAGGTAGCTCTGGGAAGCTTGAGAAGGGCTAAATGTACAATGGCTCAAAGGAGCCACTACTAAAGCAGAGATGCACTGGGTACAGTACAGCCAACAGCATAAGATGAAACTACTCTGGACTCGGATTCAAGGTTTGTGAAGGGTCAATTCCTGAGGGCAACTGGAACCTTGGAAAAGGGAAGAGTTTAAGTCTCGGTCCACAGAGGTATGTAGGTCTCAAGCCTAGTAGTGGTGGAGGAAACAAAGTAAATTTTTCCTCTCTTCAGGGAAGTGGTTACGCTGCAGAAGAGTTTAAAGAGTCAGGCTTTCTGCAGGAGCAGCAGTAAGAAGACTCAATTTTTGCTTCAAAGAACATTTCTGCTTAAAGAAAAAAAAAAAGAACAGACATCCAGCAGACCGTGTCTAACCACAGGCTCCTGAAGTCAGGTTAGGTTTTCAACACAGGCAAGTTTCACTTGAGTTACAGAAATGGAGACCTGGCCTGCAGTCAGAGCTCCGGTGACCCAGGGGTGACATCAAAGCACCCTTCTGCTCTGAGGTGTGGAGAGCGGTCCAGCCTGGCTCCAGGCATCTCTAAGTTACTCAGAATCCTCCTAATTGGCAAAAGCATCTTCAGGCAGAACTGCCTCCCTGGTTTGGCAGTCACTGCGCTTGTCAAACCACTGCATTATTTAACCAGTTTAGCTTGGCAGCTTCACTGACAAACAGCGAGATAAACAGGGAAAGGCAGGGCTGGATGTTCTTCTCATTGCTTCACAGACCTTAAGCTAAGGACACCCATATATTAACTGCTGCCATATCCCACAGCTAGTGAAAGACTTACAGGCTGTCTGGAGCCATGCTGTGAGCTCCACTGGCACCACAGGTCAAGGAATAAGGTACACAGGCAAGCAGCGAGTTGAGACAGAAAGGCAGTACTCCATGTCTCAGGAGGCACTCAGCCTTCTCACCTCTTACAGCCATCACCGGGCAAGATTGACTTATCCTTCTCTGAAGAGAAGGGACCAAATGACACATCCTACAGGGAAGTGTTCATTCACACCCACACCACAGAGAACTCCCTTCTCCTTCACTATCTATTTGATCTGGAAAGCCTTACTGACTCCAGAAAAGACTCCCCAGCAGATCAACAAGCATGGACAAAGAGACTGTCTTAGTCTCTGCTCTCTTATAGATCCCAAAGGTAACTCAAAATCACAAACTTTCAAAAGCACTTCGTTCCTTCATTCTCAAGTTTGCAATCTAAGTGACCTTACAGTGCCTTTTTTTTTTTTTATGAAGTACTTTAAAGACAAAAAAAGAAATCACACAGAGCACACTTTAAGCACACACCTGAGGTTAAGGACCAGCACCACCAGGCAGCAATGGCTTCAACCGTAGTGAGCTTGGCTACCTGAGAAACAGCAGTGGTTTAGAAAAACTCATTAATATAGTTATTTTTTTTTTTATTTTTATGAAAGAAAAATTACAATAAACTTATTGTTTTAGGAGAATTTAGAACGCACCTTGCCCTTCAAGGATGTTAACATTTCTTTGAAGCCATGCTTTTATTACAGGCACTGCATACTTCAACTGTCACTCATCAAGGAATATGACAAGATTAGGAGTGACAGCAAGGTCAGCCCAGAAATTTGAAGGCTATCACGAATTCAAAGATTTAATAGCATAAGAGAAATAGAATTTTCACCTTATTTCCTCTTAATGCTAATGCAGTCAACTTGAAGAAATCATTCCCTTCAGACAGGAGTTCATTCAGTCAAGGATTACCACGAAGTATTTCCTTACGGTACTTCATCAGACACAACAATTGTCTCCTAAAGCAGAACCACACACAGAATGCGATCTACCGAAAGTCACAAGATTAATGCAGAACTACAAGATTGAAAGCAAACTGCAATGAAAGCTCTCAAGCTTCTCTCCAAGAACAAGAGCAAACAACAAAACCAAACTAAAGACACACAGATCAGCTCCTCCACAGTCACCTCCCTTGCTCTGGACCCCTCCAGAGACAGCACTTGCTCTGCCACTGCACCTCTTATCCAAGAACCCCCTCCAGGGCAGCTTGGCTTCCTCCAACTATCTGTCAATCAGTAGAAGCTAATGAGTAATCAAGGTGTTTAATCAAGCACAGGCTTGCTGAAAGAGCCCCATCAGCAGAATTAATGCAACTCATTATTCTGGGAATCCTCTGGCAACTTTCAGAGCTTGTCATGCCTGCGCCCCAGATCAGCAAAGCAGCGGATTTCTCCAGATTCTGGCATGGCCATAGATGGTCTGGGGTCTGTGAGAGTTTTCCTGAATGGTTGTGAGATGCAGCCTCACATAGTGTGTACTGCAGTAGTGCAAAAACCCCTAATACCTGCAGTGAGATATCCTGATGAACTCCAAAACTGACACTGCAAGATCCCAACTGCCTTGGAGGCAGGGTATGTATGAGGTGAAAGAAAGCTGGAATTTTGCTTTCTTTGCCTTTTCTAATCCCTAATGTCACTACTGTTGCTGTAGTGAGATACAAAAGCACCCTGACTGTTGGCTTCACTTCTGAACTGAGACAATACACATGCAGATCATCTCACTTTTGCTGACAAAAAGGTGCTGTCTGTTCATGGTGACCTGTGCGTGTCTTGTGGGCCAGGGTTTGCATCAGTAACCTAGAGATACAAAACTTTGGCTAGTCCTTACAGGTCATTAAATTTGGACAAAATAACATGTCACATATACATTGAAATTCTAATAAATCAGTTTGAGAACACTGGAGTCTCCACTCTGCTGCACTGTAGGAATGACCTGTTCCAGACCCAAGGTGGTATCCCGGCAGCAGGTCAGGTGAACAATAGCACACCACTGCCTTGCTGCTCACATGCCCTTTCCCCACTGCTCCTTGATGGCCTGCCAGGGCTGGAGGTGCAGCTTTTGGGGGGTCACAGGCTTTCTCCAACACTGGTGCTGGTGCAGAGTAACTAATGTATCTCTGGAGTTTCTTCAGATTTACACTGGCATAGTGAAGGTCAAGATGTACATCAGTGCACAAAACAAGCTTCTGCAAGACTTTTTGAGGTGACACCTTCTGATCGATGGTAGGAACAGGTTAGAGTGTCCACTGGCTCCAGGGTGCTCATGGTGACATCACCTCCCTTTGCCTTGACCATTGTTTCCACACTGTATATAAATACACAGCTGCCCCTCACTATGAAATGTGGGCAGCCCGTGCAAGTATGGTAAGTCAGCAGTTTATATGCTAGGTGTATAGTGTGTGTACATACATGGAAAGTATTTTTCAATCTGAGCTTGTTTATAATAATAGAACTTGTCCTTAATTCTACACAAGTGGGTCAGTTTACTAGACCATTGAAAAAACACTTGGTTTACAGAAAACTTCCTGCTTCTTTTTTAGAAATTCTTGCTGGTCTTCTGCTTGATCCTCTTCTCAAGGACTCTGTGTGATTCCCGCTGCTACTTTAGAACATCCAGCAAGTATGGTAAGAAAGGCAAATACTGGACATCCCTGAAGTAGAAATTCAAAGTCTAATTTTGTTAGAAATGCTGGAATAGTATAATGCATTCTGTGTTGAAGATTGATTCAATCAGCAGGGTGGTGGGTTATCAACCCACCTGAAGACATCTCCAGGCAGACAGACAGATGCTATTCCATGACATAGGCACACCCTCAGGGTTAATGTATAGCTGAAGCCATTTCCCACATGGCAGAACACATGAACTGTCTAACTTGAGTAGGGTACCTAACACTAAAATCAAAGCAAAGGCTGCAAGACTGGTGGTGTTGAAAATTTAGAAAAGTTGAGGGAGAAGAGGGGAGGGAGAAATTACAGACTACATCTGTATGCTGAGTATAAGAAAAGGCATAAATATCCTACCATAGCCATCAGCTAATTTCTTTAGATCTATCACAAGAACAGAGGAGTATTTCTCTAGCATGTGGTTGCTACCACTTCATCATGATATTTTGTACTCTCCCGTGCACTTCAGGAGCAAAGATGTGGTATCTGTACTGCAAAGCACCGGGTCAGATTCTCTGCTGATGTAATTCAGTGTAAATCAGAGTTTTGATTGCCAGCCCATGAACAGAAGACTGTGATTTATGTCTATTAATACATGTCCGTATTGATTTGCTGACTATTGCTTTCTGTTGTGTGCATGTAGGGTGCATTTCAAACAGAAACCTCTACGTTTTTGGTGCAGTGTGGAAGACTGAGGATTGTTACCAATGCAAGTGTAAGATGAATGCGATGGTTTGCTGCAGCTTGTAAGTTCCCCCAAATTATTGCTTGCTTATTAAGGAACTGATTGATATGTTCAGACTTAAAGAGCTTTGGTGAAAGCCTGAGCTTGAATATCATATTCACTTGAGCAAAATTCCTCTTCCTATATCTCAGTTAGCTCTAATCACAACTAAGTAGAATTATCTGATAACCACATAGAACTTATTTGGGAAGAAACAAAGTGAAAGACAGCAAAGTTCTTACGGAAGACACAGCTCTTCCTCATCACAGAATGGTTTGGGTTGGAAGGGATCTTAAAAATCATCAAGCTTCAACCCTTTCTGGTGGCAGCCCCTCAGCGTTGATAGTAATGCAGTCCGTGAGCCAAACCAATCCATAATGTCGCTTGCTACAGGATGGCTGTAGCTCATTAAGCATCCTTACCTCTGTCCAGGTCTTGGCTCCTGATTTGTCTCCTTGCCTTTCTCAATGACAGGGTTTCAGTCCCCAAGAACTATGACAGAGTGAACTGCGTTGGTCTCTTCCACAAGAAAAGCTGTTCCATTCGAGTTGTGAAGAAGACTAATCCTGACATAAGCTGCAAAGTCTACAATGGGGTTGGTTAAGGCTGTTGGATGTGTTTGTCCTCTTTCTTCTGCACATCCCCTGGAAGTTAGATATATTCTACATCTCTTACTTAGAGAAAATAAGCAAAGCAGCATGGTTTCATGAGGAATGGGTTCACCTCACGTCTTTCACAGCTCTAGTTGTGCCATCTGTCTTATTTGTGACACTAGATGGTTGTCTTATTATATACATATTTGTAACAAGGCTTTTTTTTCTGTTGGGCTGCAGAGTTAAATAAATTTTCACATATATCAAATGATTTATTTTTCTTCCAAGCACTCACTGAATAGTCTTGTTAAAAACAGAAGAATTCATGGTATCTGTAAAAACGTGGCAGTGAAGCTAAATATTGATTTTGAAATAATCTAGCAATTAGAGTAATCGTTATTACACAAAGCTGCCAGACAAACGGATTCATTATGCTGTTACACTCATTGACATTTCTCCCAAGGACACGTGGACTAGGAGAGCAGGATGGAACAAAACAGAAAAAAGACCTTTGAAAGCCTCTTCCACCTTAGTGTCTTCTGTAGATCAATCCATTAGCGCAAATATACAAGGAAAAATATTTTCAGGAGGTAAATGGTATCTTACAAAAACAGCCAGCTCATGCCTTAGAATCCAACCTATTGCAAAGAAATGCCATATAAATAGCTCTGTAGCTTTCCATTCTGGGGTAGAATTTCCTGCAATAATCTTGTTTGGATCAAAGTCCAGTGACAAAGAACCCTGTGAAAGCTGTTTGTATGGAAAACCTAGACTATAAAGCATGTTTAGAGAGTAGGCTTCAGGCACAACTCTGTGCCTGGTACAAAGTCCATGAGAGTGGTTTTTATGAAAAATATCCTATAAAACATGTTTAGACAATATGAATAGCAATTACAATAAGAGCACCGTACAGCACGAAAAGCCCATATAAATTGTTTAGTGGGTTCAGTTTATTTAAGAGTAACACGTAGATGTTTTCTTCATGTTCTTTTTTCTACCTTGCTGAAGTATATTACAAGGGCATATTTCAGCTGATGGAAACCCAATATGTTCTGCGTATCTGTTGAGGAAAAACACAGTCACACAACCTATTTTCAAAGGCAGTGCTGAGAGAGTGCAAATAGAAAAGCTGTACATACTAAGGAACACTGCTTACTAAATTTTAGAAAAAAAACTCATTCATGGTTCCAGGTACTTCCAGAAAGTCATTAGGATGATCTGAGAATCTAAGTAAAATGAGAAATGCAATCTTAGATCCTTAAATCTGTGTCCTTCAGGATTAGCTAGACCTTCTTGGTAGTAACTCCTTCAGACAATACCTCGCAGCCCCTTCTTGGAAGGCTTAGCATATGCATGGACTATGTGCTGCTTTTTGCTACGTTTTCTCCGCAGTATATTTGTTATTAAGTACCTTATACTGTTTAAGAGTGCCAGAAAGATCAGGACTCCAAATGCTGAACCACAGTTTGATTTGCTGAATGTGTTGTTGGTGAACTAGCCTCCCAAATACCAAGCGCAGAGGAGAGAAAGAGAGACAGAGCACCAGGGCTCCATCAATGAGGGCCAACATGGATGAAAGGGACTCTTAGAGCATCCAAGATGCAGTCATAATCCCAGTGCTGTGACATCCCCCTCACTCACAGGAAGATGCTAACTGTACCAGTGAATATTTCTTGGCAGGGACCTTGCTATTACCATAACCTCTTTCAGAAAGGAGGTCTAACCATCACAAAGAGTGCTGTTTCCCTTGCATCCCCCCTAGAAACATGTTGTTTTCAGATTGTCTGAGTGTTACATAAAAGTACAGCAGAGGAAAGAAGCCAGATCTCTATTGTCTTCCTGTATCAGGGGCACATGCTGTGGGCAACGGGAGCATGTGTGCTTATCACTGAGGTGGGAGGGCAGGCTCACACCATGCCAGCCACAGTTTTACTCCTTTCCCTATCAACAGCAAACAAGGGCTGGTCCGTTGACTGCTACACTATGTAAACCTATTGACATGAACGGGAACAGCCAGCCTGACTAACAGAGGACTTACAGTAGCAGAGAATACTGAACTCCAGGCTGCTTTCCAGCAGCAAGTATTTTGCATATGAAGGAATTTCCACTCTTGGAACCCTCATATAAACTCTTCTTGTGCATTTTCCAAAAGTCTGAGTAGATCAGGATCCCCACCAACTTTCTGCAAGTAACAATTCAGTAGTTCCTGTTGAACAGTGCAATTAAACATGTCCACATTCAAACCAGCCAGCTCGGCTACCAGTATCCCTTTCAGCAAGGCACTGAATCAAGCAAGACGACTCACTTGGATGAGGAAAGAGGCATCTACATCTTTGTCTTCCTGCAGTTTCTCTTACCCCGTGCTGCTCCAGCGTTCTCCTGCAGTGCTGTAGTTGGGACAACTGGGCTTGGCAGCCCCAGCATCACCATATCCTGCTTCAGCAGCTGCTGCATGTTTCCAGGTTCAGACACAAGTGCTGCTCCCATATCAACTTGTTAACAGTGAGCATCTGGGCTGTGTGTGGAAAAACTGCATGAAACAGGACTCTAACATAATCCCATCCACCTCACCAAATATGGCCAGAACCTTGATACAGCAATTCATCCTGAAAATCTGTCAAGAAGACAGATCTCGATATTGTAGCCCAGTTGTTGTGGTCAGGTCATTTCTGCAGAATCCTAAGCAGTCTTTCAGGACCAGGGCTGCAGCTTTTCTCTATTGACCATAAGAGGAAAGCAGATGCTAATTTGATGGTTGCAGGCTATTCCCAAAGGTATGGGTTGAGAGAATATACATGACACAGCGTAACTTTAACTGTTTGGGAGGAGTGGAGAGACAGCTGGCTGAGCACTGTTGCAAGCTGAAGGAGACAGGACGAAAAGCTCGATAAATCAAAACATTCCCCAGAAAAAGTTTTGTCTGCTTCTTAGCAGCTTCTCTCCCCTTCTTTGATGCTTGGAACAGCAGAACTAATAAACATGATAAACAAATTAAGGAAGAAACAGAAGTGAGCAGGCCAGATAAATCATTCCAGCTTCTCTGGCTCCAGGAGGATGTGAAGCCTCTACTCCCAAGGAGCTGGAAAGAAGATCTGGGTCTGACTGAGTGCTTCCTGCCCTGCTGGCTGCACACTGCCTTCCCCGCATATGGGGAGATGCTTGTGGCAAGAAGGGAGATGCTGCTACAAACCAGCTGGTAAATAAAGCTCCTGAAAAGAAGGCTGGGAAAAATATTTAATAAGAAAAAAAGCAGACATGCACTGAAGAAAGGAGCAGCAAATAAGGACTGTTCTCCAGCTTAAAGCATTCAGCATATTTCAATTTTGAAGGCTCTCAGCATCACAAAGCACAAGAAATACAAGCTAGAAATACCTTACATATTTCTACTTCTGCTTTATTCCTTTAGCGATGAAAAATGTCAGGCAAGTGCTTAAAGTAGATTGACACATCTCCTCTAATAGCTGGTACCAGAAAAAAAAAAAAAAAAAAAAAAAAAAGAAAGAAAGAAAGAAAGAAAGAATACAGTACAAATAAATGACAATTTTCACAATTAGTTTAGTTGATAAGAGCCTGTCATTATTTTTGATATTGAAATGTTTGATTTCTGTCAGCATACAAATGTAACTACATATTTGCTACAGCTACTTATCACACCTTGAGAAAAACACCAGAAGAGCAGCAGCTACAGGACCAAGTAAGTGGCTGGCTTCAGCTTAAAGCACATTTTAAGTAAAGTTGAAAATTACATTACCCTGCTATAGCTCTTGGAAATAAAATATTGTCTCTATGTTCTGTCAATGCAAGAGAAAAATTTGCAGCTCTGATTTCTGCCTTGGGTTTTCACAAGAAAGAAGCAAGCTAAGAAACAAACAATCCGAGGAAAGCTGGTAGTGGTGCAATCTATCCTATTTCCAAATCTTACATTTCTGAGTTGTTTGCTTGAGTTACAGTGCACCTCTCCCCTTTCACAAGCTGGGTGTTTAGAGTTTGAAGCCTGCATCCTCCTAAACTAAAATTCCAATTGTGGTCTATGGTGAACTGCAAATAAAAATGAGAAAACCAATACTGACAATGTCAAAAAAAAAAAAAAAAAAAAAAAAAAAGAAGTAAAATCCTCTTCGGAGCCTGCAGAAATCTTTCCTCAGGAAGGAGAAGAGAGTGGGGCTCGGTTCCTCTACTTTCTACTACTATCTGCTTTAGCAATTCCACTCATACACGTGTTAAAAGTGTAGCTTGAATGGGTGTTGCGCTTCAATCACTTTGTAGCTCTTTCCTGAAGCTGCTCTCCATCTCATGTATCTGTAGAATTTCTGCACTTACGGAACAGCAGAGGGAGCCAGAAGTTCAAAGTCAGAGCACAGGGATGAAGCTGGATTCATTGGCTAAACTGAAGAGGAGAAAGGAGGGAGGGGGTAAAAGGAAGAGAATTGCCACCCAAAATTACCTACTGAAGCAGCGAGCAGAACATCTCTTCTAGATTGCTGAAACACAGATGGTCTTACTTTGCTGCTGTAACAGCTCTCCCTTCTTCCAAGACAGAAACGTGCAGCAACAGAGGTTGTTTCCTCCATCAGAGAGAGGTAAGAATTCTTTGAAGTGTTTATTTCAGATTTATTAGATCTCAGATCTCTTTAATAAAGGTATCACTTTTGATTGTCTACATTTGTTCAGCTTCACTTGCTGACAGATAATGATATCATTATTAATTCCTTTATGTTCTGATCTCCCTCTGTTTTGGATGATGTTTCCTGGTCAGAAACCAGTCAGCTCAGTGAGAATTCACCTGAAATTTTAACCTAGGACATGAGGCAAGAACTGTATATCTGAAATGTTTAGGTTTGCTGAGTAGTTACTACATTTATACAATTCAAAAAAACAAGTTTTAGAAGAACATGAAAATACGGATTCAGAACAGTTCTGACATGACTTTTCATTCAGTAAACTATTATGGTAACAGGAAATAATGAAACACATTCAATTGGCATTTACATTTTAAAATTAGGTCACTGGAGCTGATGGGGATGTAGTTTAAATTGAAGATAAGCCATGGAATGAAAGCCTATGCCAGGTTGGATTCCTGAAAGCAAAGAATTCTTACACAGTTCTTCAGTTCCATAAAACTGTTGTGGATTTCTTGGTGGTTTTAAAACCATACAGAAACAAGGACGGAAAGTGAAGTGAACCTGATCCAAAGTCCACAAGGATCAATGAGCTCTGAATCCAGTCACAAGGCAAGGAAAAACAGTAATAAATACTTTGCTCTGTTTGTATACTTTTAAAGCTCTTTCCCTTACTGTGTTGCCAGAGAGAGCTTTGTCTCCTCCCCTAGACCTGAACAGCACCAAGCACTATTCTCAATTAGATTTTAATACTGCCACAATAAACATTAACACAATTATTAATAGTAATAATTTAGCAAGAAGGTTTATAAAAGCAAGAGAAGCCACAATAAATACTTAACTTTATCATTCAGCGTAGATTAAGGCTGTGCAAACAATTGATTTGTCAGTGCCGGGCTGATACGGATTTGAGCTTGCAGAGGATGGGTGCACCAAACCATTGCTTTCCACTAAGCAGTGACAGTTTTTGACAGATGCACCCAGCCTTGCTCATTTCTGTGGGTATTTAAACCATCTTTCAATGTTATAGACTTGTAACATATTAATTCACATGTCTTGTACCCCAGATCTTAGAAAAACTTAACATTAGCTCCTTCAGTAGCCTCTCCCAATACTTTTGGAATAGCAGTTTAACTAAGAGTGTAAAAAACGCTCACCATTAAATCTCACTGTATCAAATGCTTTATGGATTTTGTATGGCTGTGGGATTTCTGTGCGCACTCAGTGATATGTGTCAGAGTTCTGTTAAATGTTTCCAAATACTTACTTGTTTCTAGTTTAAAAGAGACAGCCCATAGCTGCTTTACTCCAGATAATTGTCATAGCTCTAAATCAGTAATACAGCCATTTGGCTGTAAGAGTTGCTTCTCTCATGAAGACTTATGGACTGGAAGCAGCAAACAGGGCTTGAGCTACCAATTAAGTTCTGAGCCAGACAAGTAATTGTGTCTGAGTACCAAATAATGAAGCCAAGAACTGCAAACGTTTTTTCCCTTCTACTTATGTCTAATGTAGGAAGTAACCCACACTGCCCATCATAGCTATACAGAGACTGACTCAAATGCAGAGAAGAGCTGGTGCTGGTCAGCTTTGCAAGGACAATCTGCCCTTTCCTGGGTAGCTGACAGAGTACAATGTCACCAGAATTCCCTTTCCCTCAAAGAATTTTTCTGGCACATATAGGATATGGCAGTCAAGCTGATCATAGTTTGTTTTCAATTTTTTCTTTGGGATATCCTGAGTGACTTTTCTTAGTTTAGAAGACTGTGTTGTTCAGTGAAGCACATCCTTCAGACCTCAGCTGCTCTATTTCCTTGCTTCCAAAAGAATGACAAATGTCTGTGAAGGAAACAAATGAAGAATTTAACAAAGATTAAGTCTGAAAGTTCCCTATTGTATTCTTCTGTATCCAGTAAAGTTGCTGCAGACTTTTGTGTCACCCACTTTTTAGAAATACCATCTCACATTGCATCAACTAAAGAAGACCTTGTTTTTGGAGCATGTTGATTTTCATAGCTGACCTCTTTCCTGAAGTTCATTGATGATTCTGAGCTGGTATATCCTTTTTTTCTTTAAAAACAAAGGAACAGCAATTCAACTCTTTCTCCCAACTTCCCCGCTGCTGATTTAGGAAGCTCATTGCTCCTGCAAGCCAAGAAAGTATTATTTCACTTTCTGAAGACAAAAGCTGTTGTATTTGACCACAGTTTTTGTCTGTTTGTCTGTTTGTTTCTTATTTTGTTTTCTTTCTGTATTTTACTGAGTAATCAACGTGCTTTTAATACAGTGAGGGGAGCCAGAATTCTTTTCCACTTGCACTGGTGATTCAGTTTGTTAGTCAGCACTTAATTCAACTCTCTAAACAAAGTGAGTCCATATTGATTATTATTGGTTTGCAACTTAGATCAACTGAACAGCATTAAATACCTTGAGATGACAGGACTTGGCAGTGACTGACCCCAAGAATCTGTCATCTAGGGGTACTGTAACAGGATACATAGATATTAGGTCACTGAAATACTCACTGTTCTATTTTCCTAGAAATGTTTTTTACATGCTAGACACTGGAATAAGAGATACGGAGAGCTGCACACAGGTGATCTAGCCTCTGACTTTCCAAAGGAATCAGGTCCAGCAAGCAGTTTCACATCTACTTAATGTACCAAAGCTTTCCCTGAGACACTCACATCTCATTTCCCTGCCTCATCCCCTAGCCTGTGATCTGAGTGTGATAATTTATTATGAAGCTATGGCATCACCATGAGAACACATGACTGGGAAGCGGTTGCCAGTCATCTTGTGAGAAACACTACAGAATGCAGTGCATTAAAAGAGATGCCTAACCCAACAAAATGCAGAGCCTTCAGAGGCACAGCAATACCATCTGCAACAAATACACAGTCACACTCTCTCTTTGGTGTTCCTCTTGGGAGCATGCCCCTTAAATCTGTGGGATCTGGTTTAAACTTTTACCTTGACGAGTGAACTTGCTCAGCAGTTACTGCTACTCCAACAGTGAGTCGCATCATACCATTTAATGTATGTATTATTATCTTTTCCATTTGTTTTTCTGAAACTCTGAGAAATTTATCACATCCTCACAGACTTGAGTAGCATCTGATTGCAGAGGAAGGGCTTGTGTATTGGGTAAATGGTATAAATCCCTGTGTATTTATTTACTTCTCAAGTCAGAAGTCTTCATACAGCCTGTAACTGCTTTTGATTGGATGATTGCACCCAGCAGGGTCAGATTTTTTTCTTTGATTTCTGGATGTAGATTTGGGTTCCAGAGTAAGGATGATAGAGAAGGCTCTACTATAGCAAGGGGTATTCACTTGCATCAGTGGGCCCCGATGGCCAGCTGGAGGAAAGGCGCTGGTAACAACGAAAGGAGATATCACCCCCCATGCAGAGTGGAAAAGGAACCCAGGAACGTACCAGGTGATCATAGCAGCTTCCCAGGTGTCTTCTGGTAGAGCCCAGGCACTCCTGTGGTGTAGATCTCCAAAACCATGCAGCCTCAATTAACTCTGAGGTCTTGGTTCCCTGAGATCTCAATGAAAGTCACAGCTCAGAAGCCATGGCTGAGCAGCAGATCCATATGCCTGTGCAGAAACAGCACCCTGTGGACAGCACATACTGTTAGAACATTTGAACACTCTTAGTTATTAAGAGAGAAATTCTGCTGAAAGAGGAATCTGGTCACGTGGAATTAAGAAGGGTTGTCAAATACAGCTATTCAGAAAGCCAAAATGGAAAGCCTGGAATATATTCCTGATAAGCCCTGTGATGGCCACACTGGCCACCCAGAGGGAGACATCAGTGCCTCATGGGCAATGGGGTTCATCCAGAAAGGGGAAGTAGGGAACTTGGACTGCAGTTCCCATGACCTATCACAGCTGTGTAGAAATGGAAAAATGTTGAAGTGATTTTGAATTATTTCAGATGCTTTCAAAATTGTCCCATGTTATCCCTCCTGAGGATACGAGCCTGAATTTTTGCATGGTGATACTGTCTCAAGCAAACTCGTGTTCTGGCTGCAAATACAATTTCAGTTTGCAGAGTAACTTGTATTAAAATATTTCGGTGTTAGCTTCGTGTATTAATATATTTTAATGTTTTCACGGATGTTTTACTTGAGTGACGGAACATGCCCCCAATAAAGTGCCTTTCACACAGCTGTGGAGCAGAGTCTTGCAAATGCCCTGTCCACAGCAGGGACTCGGAACTTGATCCTAAGACTTGTTATGATTCTATGAAATACAAGATCATACATTTTTTTTTACCCCTCGGTGTGTTTTGATCCAACTTTCTACTGAATTAGTAGCATTCAAGGTACTGCTCTAAGTTGATATTAAACCCTGGGGATAACTTCACGCATGGCAAAGTCATATTTCAGTAGATTTGCACATATTTCCATACTACAGTCTAGCAAACCATTCCATTTCACAATCTGATTAGCCATATAAAAAGGAGCTGAAGAAATACAGAATTATTGCTTGCTTCTCTTACTTTCCCCCACTGCACTTTTGACTGATCTCTTGTAACATAACTAAGCAATCTTTTTCCTTTCCTTTGCAGACCTACCCAGACCTCCTGCAGTGAAATAGAACAGATAACTTTTTAGGCCAGCTCCAGAGGACTCTGTCTATGTTTGGTTATCACCTTTTTGGATAAAAATTTGGGGCCCAGGATGAATAAGACAAGGGCAGTTAATGACGCTTTTCCTTTCCTGAATACTAAGAACTTGAGCTCAAATCGAAGCTTCCCCTCGCACCTTTCTAACCAGTGCAGGAATGTCACTGACCTTACTGTTTTTCTGGCCACCTCTTACAGTCTGGAGACTGTTCTAGGCATTGTGGGAAACATCTGCCTGATTGCTGTTATAGCCAGGCAGAAGGAAAAGACCAACGTCACCAACATCCTCATTTCCAACCTAATAATTTCAGACTTGTTTATGTGTCTTGTCTGCCTGCCTTTCACCGTTGTTTACACCATGATGGACTATTGGATATTTGGGGAGGTCATGTGCAAAATGACCTCTTTCACACAGTGCACATCTGTGACAGTGTCAATTCTTTCCCTTGTCCTTATTGCTCTGGAAAGACACCAGCTGATCATAAACCCAACTGGTTGGAGGCCAAGCATCTCCCAAGCCTATCTAGGAATTGGAGTCATTTGGACTTTAGCATGTCTCATGTCTCTTCCCTTTTTGACCACATCCATCTTGTCTAATGATCTGTATGAACAGCTCTCACACATCATGAATTTTTCCTATGACAAGGCCATATGCATTGACTCATGGCCTTCTGAGCAACACAGGCTTATCTACACCACAACTCTACTTCTTCTGCAGTACTGCATCCCACTGTTCTTCATTATACTTTGCTATCTGCGTATCTACTTACGCCTACAGAAAAGAAAGGACATGTTTGAGAAGAATGAATACAGTAACCGAGCAGTTCAGTTAAGAAGGATAAATATATTGTTAGCATCCATGGTTGCTGCTTTTGCTGTTTGCTGGTTACCACTGCATGTTTTCAACACCATTGTGGACTGGAATTACAAGATCATTTCACCTTGCCACCACAATCTGATCTTCTCCTTGTGCCATTTGGTAGCCATGGCTTCTACCTGTGTCAACCCTGTCATCTATGGTTTCCTCAATAGCAACTTCAAAAAAGAAGTGAAGTCATTGATTCTGAGCTGTCAGCATAATTCGGTAACTGCATCAATGGAAGAATATGATCATTTACCTTTATCCACTATGCAGACAGAAGTCTCCAAGGGCTCACTGTCATTGAATTGCAGACATAATTCTATCTAGCCAGCAGAAAGCACTTCAGAGGTTGTACTGACACCACACTGCAGTCATACCTGCAGGTATAAAAGCAACTGGTGATGCCAAATCTGGAATGCAAACAGGAGCCCACTGCTGCCTGATTTTTGTAAGAACAAGCAAAGAAAGTTAGTAAATGTATTCAGTAGCTCCTGGGATGTGCAAGGTGTTTGTGTCTTTGAGGAGGTGCAGACTGGTGAACAAACAGCTGCTCTGCCAGCTCAATAGATAAGCCATGGTGCACATAGACTGACATCGGGTCTATCGTCTACGTTCACATCTCCAGCATGGCTGAGGTAGAACCTCATACAATCAATGTTACCACTGCAGGCTGCCAAAGCTGCATTCACAAAGGCTTCATTTTTCAGTATTAAGACTTTTTATGCACTGATGACACACCAGGGAAACAGAGACATGTAAATATATATGTTTTTTTGAGCTTTCCTAACTGACAAACCATTAGCATTCAGCAGATCCAATTTGCATCAAACGGCTGGAGGTCAGTCTGGAACTTCTCCCTCTTGTCACACGGGCTTGGAAATTGCCATTGCCCTCAGAACTTGGGGCAAAGAACAAGAAAGATGAAAGTTACTGAAAGAGGAGCAGTGGGAAATGAAAATGTTACTTTGCAGGTTAAGCTCTTGGAGCACGTTGACGTGATGGCAGAACGCTGTTTTCAAGCAAATGAAAAACAGTTGCAGATCTGCATGGAAATGAATCTGGTTGGTTTTGCAATTCCTGCTGCTGGCAGTTACAAAGCTCTGCAATGTTGGAAGCGTACATCATGATGAGAAAAGGTGACTGTATTACTGTAGCTGCTTCATGCCTCGGTAGCAAGATTTCACTTCTGCTTCAGCAGCAAAATACTCATTAGTTCCTTGGTGCTCTAATTGTATCTAATTCAGAAAGTCTGAACATGCATGAAAAGCTGTTCAAAGAAGCCTTGTATTTTCAGAGCGTGTATAGTCCCAAAGAAGTAAATACACACATGCAGACCATTTCCTATTAACATAAAAGTGGATATCAGACATCAGTTCCACTCACTGGCAGCAACAACAAAGTGCTGAATAAGAGTACATAACTGGAATCCAAGTCAGGTGGAAACACAAACCTTAAGGCCAAGCTACATGTAAATAAGTAGTATAGTAAGGAGATGTTGCTCAGTGACTGCTGAGGAAATAAAGAAAGTTCATACTGAGGAAAAAAAGATAAAGAAAAAAGTGAGAAGTTCATTGTAAAAAAAAAAAAATAATAATAAAGAAATATGGAACTGTATTCTGCCCTGTGTTTTTAAACTAACCTTAGCAGTAGCTAAGTGACTTGCTTGTGATTTGCTTTTGCATCTTCCTCAATTACTTGGCAAGACATTTTTGCTTCTTTCATGTGGCCTTCTGCTGCATCTTCTGTTTTTGTGTTTTTTTGTTTGTTTGTTTTTTGTTTTGTTTTTTTTTTTAATTACCTCTTGCTTTTCTTGGTTCTTTGTATGCAACGTCACTTCTAGACTGGATATTATGCCCATTAGAAGAAATGCAGAACAAGGGGACTCATTTTATCTTATCCTGAATTAGAAGTTTTCTAGTTTTCTGTTGTAGCTGAAAGCAGAGCTGATACAACTTTGCAATGCTGAGTAGTAAAAATAAATTAACGTCTCATAAACAACTTCACTCTTCCCAGAACTGCGTTGTATTGTTTGAGTGCATGAATACCAATTAAATTTTGGAGTGTTTTTATATTCAGGGTTATTTATCTGATCAGTTGAGTAATTCTGCCTGTTCTGTGTGCTTGTTACAATTTCAGCACCTAACTAATGTATGTCAAGCTATAGTAAGAATATCCTGCTCAACATGAACATAGAAGACTATGATTTATAATCCTACATATAGAGTTTTTCAAGCATCACTCTCTTAAATGGAAACAGCTATCTTCAGAGTTTTTCTTCTCAGAAGTGTGAATCTTTGCTGTAAGATCTAAATCTGAATGTTTTTGTGGAGGAGTATCAGCAGGGTCTGACTCTCCTTTGAACTGCAACTCATGCTGCCATTTGTACCCACATAAAGCAAACCAACCCAATTTTACAATAACCCACACTTACGTGAGCAGGAATGTGGCTCCCTCCAGTGAAGACAGGAAGTGTCAAGTCTGGAATCGAGTATTGTTTATCACTAATGGACTTGGTACTGGGTCGACACTAACTCCCACCAAACTCTGCTTAAAGATACCCCAGGTAACAAAAACTTTAGAGCAAATCCAGAAAATGAATCTAGGTTATAAAGGGCTGACTATCTGTGTCATATGTAAGTTCCATCTTTGATTATACACTGGGCATCATGCTCTCACAAGTAGTCAGGATACAAGCAGTACTTTTATCATCGCTCCTTCATTTTGCAGGGACATAAGGGTGCACAGAATGTAGCTGTGCACAAAAGCAGTAGAAAGTAATATGCTATTCATTGTTGTGAACAGCTCTAGCAACTGTTCCTTGTTCCCACTGAAGGCAAAAGCACTGAGATGGATGTAATTTTGTCTGCATGGATGTTGAAAGCCATTTCATTTGTTGCTTTGAGGCTTTCTTGCAACCAAGGGGAAAATCTCTCTCTTTAGTCTCAGAAAAAGGTAACAGGAAAAACCACAAAAACACCAAAACTTACGTATATTTTACCCATCTGCAAATGTGATCTTGATTAGTTATTTAAGAAGGATCAACCAATTTTGTGTTCATTGTACTACAGCAATACTTTTGAGTACGCTCTTTGAAAAGCCTTGCTAGTGAATCACAAAGGTAATTCAGGAGAAACATGCTTAAGTAACAAACCATCACTTCATGGAATTTTAAGAGTTTATCATAATGTTTATTTTTTATAAGAAGGCTTTTAATGATCCTGCACCTATGATGTAGTTCAAAAAGATTGTAAGATTTTCAGAGCAGAAAAACAACTTGTTACTGTGATATAAGCACGTTTTTAGGAACCTGGTAATAACAAATAAAATGCTATGGCCTGTGTTACTTTGTTTCTGCTTTTATAAAATGGCATTATACTAATCACAGTATTAAATACAAAAGATTTAGTTCTCAAATAGCATTTATGAAGAGAAAACAGAAGTTGCAACACGTGATAAGTGTCATTGATATGTGAAGGATTAAAACCTTGATGCAGGGACTCCCAGGGACATACAGTAGTATAGCACAGCCAATTAAGGAGGAGATGACAGGTATCAGAAATTCACTATGGGACACCTGAATATTCTGATGCCAGGATGCAGCTCACCTTTACAGACTTGGCAGATTGCCGGAGACGGGGCTCTAAACAACATACTGTCCCAAACTGAAGTCACAAACACAACCAGAAGAACCAAGACTGCCAAGAGCCTACAGTAAGTGAAGACATCGCATCATGAGGACCCAAGAAGAAGCTCTTGATTCTTTTACATTGATCTGTGAGTCTCCTTGCATTTTCCACCTGACATTTCTTTCACAGAAAGACAGTTCTCTTCAGAATTTCTAGTGGCCGGATTTTCAGGCGATACTGAACATTAATATCAGCATTGTTGCTTATTACCACTGCTTATTATTATCCGCATAGCTTTTATAACTTTCCCTTGCTATCTCAGTTTGCTTAACAAAGCCGTTTCTTTGAACTCAGGAAGTCATAAGCAGAATACTGAGAATACTGAGATAAAGCTGAGATTTGTACTTTTGTATAATACCTTTTCCTGCCAGACAATGCTAGTTAAGCCTTAGTCTGAATTCCCAATCTTATCCTATTCTTATCTTTCCGATAACCACTCAATAAACTTGAAGTCCAGTAGCAGCATAGAGACTGTATGATAGAAACCCAGGTTGAAACTGAACGCTGGTGGTTGTTGATTGTTGTTTTTCAGAAATTAAAAACTTTAAAAATATATATTTAGTCATGGTACACAGAAAATACAGCACTGCATAGTTTTTTCTTTTTTAATTAACTGGCAAAATATGGTGGGTTATGCTAGACACAGTGACACCAACATAATAATACATTTTTACTGTAGGATTACACCAATGCAAGTACAGCTTACTTTTACTAGACTCAAGACATCCCTGGTAGTAGAAAGATAGCTTTTGGCAGTCGTAAGCAACGATAACATGCAGAACATGAAACTTGCACTTTAACCCATAAACATGAAGCTTTGTTTTGTCCCTAAGGCTCCAGCTAAACATCTCTGCTCTCTGAATGCAATAATTATAGCTCATGAATTATTGTGCCCTCTACCCAGACTGTAGGAATACAAAGACTCCCTGTCAACAGCTAGTGGGCAAACACTGCTTCATCATTCATATATATTACCTTGATTACATTTTATTCCAGCATGACTGTAAGCAGAATGCACTTATCCCATGCTATGCCCTTGGTGAGATAACTGCCACTGATTCATTTGCTTGATAGGTTGACTTAATGACTATAAATAACTCTATGTAATACTAAGCATTTATTTCACTTAAAGGCAGACAGTAGAAGAGGTACTGATGTCCTAAAAACCAATTTCTGAAAAACAGAGAGACAGCTGAAAAATACCAGAAAGTTCTGGTATCCTCTGCACTTCTGTTAAACTCACAGCAAATATATTCAAATGGGGAACTTTGTTAAAAACAACAGCAAAGACATCGACTGGTTGAGGAGCATAACGTGCATGTGCCCTCCGCCCTGTGCTTTTGGGAAGACTGATGGGATTCTAAGACAACAGAAGCTGGCTGACACTTTTAAAACTGACAAGATCATCCAACCACACCATTTCCTCACGCATTCAGCATGAATCTAATTCCATCCACCAGAACTACAGCTAAACTGTGGCAGATCATGAAGATTTCTTTTGCAACAACCCACATTTCCACCAGCCGTGTCAGAAGTCCCGCACAGCACAATGCACACAGGCATGCACAGTTTCACACCAAGTGAGCTCATCGTCACCAGCAGACCAATTGGGATTATTAATCCTGCTGGCCTCTAGCACAGTTGCTTTCCCTCAGGAATACTCTGTGAAGTACAGATCTTTACAGGATGAATTTCTTCCCTGCACATTGCAAAACAGGTTTCACAGCAGTGCAGTTGCATTCTCTGAGTTGCTTACATTTAGGCAAAGATGTACTGCTAAGGAGCACCTTACCATTGCTGGGAAGGAAGAGGGGACCCATCTGGCTGAAACAAGGGGAAATACTCTATCTGCACTCAGAGCAACAGGCAACGTATTTGCTAACAATGTATCTTGATCCAGTTCATTTCTCTGTACTGCAAAATCAGTGTTTTATGGTCCAAAATTGCAAATGCTAAGCTGTAAGTGATAACAATAGGCAGCTTTATGGTTGAAACTATTTCCACCAATCAGTTTTCCACAAACCACAAATAGTTCAAACAACAACACGCAGAGCATTCCAGGATTCATGTATATAATTACCATACCATTTCCCAGGATCAGGGGTACAGTATATTATACATATTTTAAAATAATACACAAAAGCATCCACATCCGAGACTGTAGAGCGCACATGAAAGCAGAACTGTGACTGGTCTGTAGTTGAATGCTGTGATTTTGTGCAGCACAGAACAGCAAATAAGCTTCTCCTAAGTATAGTAAGAAGAAATGTGCTTTTACTTCAACTATTTTGCCCATGGCAGGGAAGGTGGAACTAGATGGCCTTTAAGGTCCCTTTCAACCCAACCACGCCATGATTTTTTCTTAACATCATGAAAAATGCGGTATTGGGTGTCTACGCATACAGAGAATATGTGAGTGTAAAGAACAGATCCTGCATCTAGGAGATTGTAGAAAGTCTTTATTAGTTTTTTAAACCTGGAAACAAATTAATTGATGCTGTTGCTATGACTCAGCCAACCGCTAGGCTGGCTACACACACTTTTGTCTGAGTGGTCTGTTATTACAGTTGGAGAACAAAAATAAGCAGTGTGATGTTTAATCTGAGTGTGTTTATTTGTAGCAATACTATATTTTATACTTAGAATATGTTTAATATTTCCTTTTACAGCTAACATAAACTAATTAGAGGCATAGGGCCAATAAGTAGTAAAAACACCAAGGAATACATATTCTTTATCAAACTTATTTTTCAGTGACAGTTATTTCTATTGAAGAAGACATCAGCAAATGTTTTAATAGAAGTTTACAAATCACAATAGATTTCATGTGCAGCAGAGAAAAGACAGCTCAGAGCTCTAAGATTAGGCACCCAAATCCCAAAAGGAGATCCTTAATAGTTCCTAAAACTGTTTTGAAATCTAACAGCAAATGCAGCTCCAAGGTGACTAACTAAGGCCACAGCTGAGCAGGTGTGGAACCCAGCCCTGCATTTACTATTCAGCCAGCTTCGTGAGTCTGAAAACTGCAGCCCTGTGTCTTCAGGAGTAAAAGAATTGAAAAGAAGATGGGCTGCACAAGGTGACCCAAATACAAGCAGGCAAACAATTAGGACATTCATCCTTCCTGGAGAGTCACTTGATTTTGTAATTAACTTAGCTTGAATGAGTTCACTTCTCACAGCCTCTGAGGAGTACATACCTGTGCAGAACTTGCTGGATATACTTTCAAGCAATTTCAGTTCTTCTTGGTTAACTGTTAGCTCACTACTCAAGCGCACTGAAGGAGGCACACGTGATTCTGCATACCCATACAGGAAAAGCACCCAAGAGGTAGAGTCAGATGAAGACTGACTTTAATTACTATCAGGTAATACCGTTCCTGCTTTCAGCGAGACATCGTAAATCAGTATGCAATTACAAACTGTGTTGTGTTCTTGAACTGTGCCAGTGTCTTTCCAGCTCTCTCTATTCACTTGTTCATCACTCCATGAGACATGGCAGTGCATCCCAGGAGAGCTGACAAATGGAAAACTGAACAGATAAGCATTTAAAAATAAGAAAAGCCCACAAACATTAAAAAAAAAAAAAAAAAAAGTTATTTTAAACCTTGTCATGTCACTGATCCAGTTAATGCTGCATCACTGCAATTAAAGAGACAGTGACGTTTCAGCACGTGAACAAGCAGGGGGTTGAGAACATTGGGGCCTGGGATTCCTTAAGCCAACTGTTCCACTGAAGTCAGTCTTGTGACCCACTAAGCCGTCAATCATGTTGTTCCTCACCCACTGAGGAACAACATGAAGTTCCTGAGCCTCATCTTTCAGGCTACTTTGCAACCACTAGCAGCAGCAAGTGTGGTGCTGGGTACTTTCGCAGCAGAACACCACCACAACCTTAATGAGATATCCCTGCAGCTGCTCAGTGCATCCCAAACCTTCAGGGAATGGAGTAGATGCATCGACCAGCAAAATGTCAGCTTATCTTTTTTCCTCCTGGGGTATTATTTATTTATTTATTTTAAAGCTTTTTGTTCTTTTCCCCAGAAGCTGCCCTGATTAGATAGCACTAATATCATTAAGCTAAATTGGTTCCTTGGGAGATGTCCCAATTAAATGGCTATCCTAATTAAGCACATCCTGATTAAGCAGAAGAACCTATAATTATAATAATAGCATGTAATAAAAACTGACCCATAGTTTTGTTCAGACAGAAAGCATTTTGCACACTTTCTTTACAAGGAACAACTTTATCCAGGATTAATAAACAGCCAGCTCCTGAGTGAAATACTACCTCTGTTTAACAACAGTTGGTATAACTGAACAGTCTTTCAGGGCAAAAAAAATGAAGAATACTGCACCATACTGACAACACAAACAATATAATGATAAAGCAGAAGGCACTTAGGCTGCAACTGGGGCTGAGTATCTTTCCTACTCTCAGCAAACACATCCCAATTCTATGTTAGTACTGTTAGCACCATGGACTTTCCTCAACTTGAGAAGAACATAACATAAGAAGGTGGGTACAGTACAGCCCCATTTAGGTTCTAATGCAGAAAATCTATCAAGTCCATTTTTTCCCCCCAGTGAGTGGCAAATCCAAGCTCTGTAGCTATTGCAAATATATGGCATATTTTCTGAGTACAACTGTGCCAAGGGGAATTCCTACTGTGTGTTTTGGACGCCGTTTGTGTTCCAGCTTGCATAGCTGTATTCTGTTGTCCCAGTTCCTCTAAGGACAGCTCCATTTTTCAGTTTGTCCTATACAGCACTGCAGAGATGTTAAGTGACCCTTACTAAGCAATGAGAGCTGGACAAACAAATCTGAACAAACATGTAGTTATTAAAATCTTTTCTTTGGCCTCAGTGTAACAAGGAGTCAGCGGGGAACCTCACATGCTCAGAACTGTTAGCTGATAAAGACTGACTTAACATGTACGTATACAGCTGTCAACAGGCAAATTATCAGTAAGCAGGAAAATTAGAAAAAAAAAACCACAATGAATCTTTATTTCAGGGAATATTTCCAGTAACTCTATCCCTCCCCGATTGTCCTGCTATCATCACATCCGACCACCCCAGTTCTCAAGAGATACTGCAATATCCCTTCATATAACACTAGCTCCAGTGCTTCAGCTAGGGCTGAAGTTTTAATTGGGTGGGCATGGAGGCCTAGTGCCCCTCTGTGGGTGTACACAACACAGAAAAGTGTTAAAGTTGCACCACAATTCCATGTTGGAGACCTGAAGCCAACTTCTTAGGGATCAGTACAAGATTTTACAGTGCATTTCCCAGAGAATCATTCCCCAGTCCCTTGTTTGTGCTGTACCAAGCCTGCTGCTGCTCTCCCACAGAGAACTGCTTTACCCATAGCATATGCAGATAGTTCCTGAAGTAGTTTATACTAACTCTTGACCCATCCATCCCATTTTAGTATTCTCAGGAACGCCAGCCATTTGGTTGGATTTCCATTACCCAAAACAGGCTTGAAAGGCCAAAATCCCAGTGAACCTTCTCAGTATGAATGGCATTTTCACAAATCATATAAAAACAATGAAGTCTTCAATCTGTTTAGCATCTTGGAGTAAAATCAGCAGCAGTAGTATTTGTCCCACAAGCATATAAGTAAGTTGTACTCCATTTTGTTACCTCATGCAAGTGCAGAATGAAAGATTGATGGTTGGACTAGATGATCTTATTGGTTTTTCCAAATTTGAAGATTCTATGACTGTTATCTAGTATGGAAAAGACTCTCTGAGAGAGTAAGGAAATTCACTCCATTCTGATCCAAAAATCAAGTTAACCACTTACTTTTTTTCTTATTAGGAATAATAGTGTAGCACAGATTTGCAAAGGATGAGATGACTAAATTTGATAACCAGAAATTACTGCCAGAAAGGTGGTATGAAAACTCAGACAAAAACCAACCCAGTGCTGCTCAACAAAGGAGAATCCAATCATCCACACCTCTCAGCAATGAAAGAGCTGGCCTACTAAATACATTAAGTTTCTTTCCAAAATAGAGACACAAATAATTCAAACATTTATGAGTTTAGCTTCAGTGTTATATAGGATTTCTAAACATGAGCAGAGGAAAGGTAAAATTTGAGTCCTGGAGATAAAGAGACAACGCATATTAACCATAGGGAGCATATGCAAGATTAGCTGGCATCTCTTACTGGTGATCTCACTTACTTCATTTGAGCATGGCAGCATAGCAAATTCAGAATCTTTGCAGTTAAATGAAGCATTATAAGGGGTTTCAGAGGAGATGCAGTTAACAAAAAAAAAAAAAAAAAAGAAAGAAAGATTAAAAATTTTTCTCCAAGTTTTATTTTAAAAAAAAGCATGCTGCACAATCAGTAGAGACAGTGGATTTTTTAGAAACAAAACACATTCCACCAATGGAACAATCTTACTTAAAATTTTCTATTGTGGCCTGGACAAGTGCAAGCTCTAAACTTGGAGGTATCAGCAACATTGAAAAAAGATGGGACAGTACTGAGAAAGGGCATAACTGCTACACCATGAAACTTAATAGAAAATGCAAGGCTGTAACAAAGAGCCTGATTTGCTTTTTAAATAAGCTGCATGAAAGAGAGCAGAAGGCTCAGAAGCCTGATATTGCCAAGGGTAAGGGAAAATGTTGCCATCTCAGAGCAACGTGGCTCATAACATGAGGCAGCTGTGAGAAGGAAAAACACAGTCATCACAAGGCAACAAATTTGCAATACTTGACAGATGTGCTGTTGTGTAAGGACCTCATGCAAAATGCAGCGTACAGTTATCCTAGTTGAGGAAACAGCTACAGAAACCAGGACAAGATGCAAAGTAACATTAAGTCAGAGGAATAGAAAATGAATGTGCCTAAAAGGCCAAAAAGAGCCTATTTATTTAGACTACAGTTACAGATTACACCTTCATTGAGCAGATTAAGCCAGAGAAAGAAATGATACTGAAGGTAAATGGGCAATATTAGCACAAAATTAGCACAACTACTGTAGGGCTGGAAACTGGAAGGCTTTGGTTGAAGCCGTGTCATTTAAGAATAAAGCCTGTTTAGCTAGTAAAAGAGCTTACCTTGTGCTGTAGCAGATGATAGCTGTGCACCAGCCCTTACAGTCCTATGTTCTGCTGGCAGGTGGTTGGGACATCAAACAGTGCCACAAGCTCAGTGCAAACCCTGCCTACAGTCTTCCTCCGCCAAGTCATTAAGCACTCAGCACCTTCGTAGGTTTTCTCTGATGCATGGCAAGAAAGATACCAGTTTTACAGAAGCCACCTGTGGGTAAGCTTCCCCAGAATAATTCCATTTCAGAATACCCACCTCTTCAGGGATCAGTATAAGTCTCTCAGCAGTAGCCCAGTAATCACATCCTTTTCCCTCCTAGTAAGTGCAAGAGATTCAGATTTTTCTTCTTCAAAATAAATTCCTTTTAAACCGAACCATAACAAGTTTCTAGACCACCAGATGAATATCACTCTATGTATCAGGTGCTTCAGAACAGGGCTTTGAAATAAAACATTAGATAACTTTTAATTGTTGTTGAAGACCTAAATACTTCATGGGGAAGCACACTAAGCTTTCACAGTAAAATAGTTTCCTGCTTCTTTTCAGACCCCCTTTCTTCAGCAACTCACCTAGGAATCCAAAGCTCAGCCCTTAAAACAGCACAAATGAAGAGCAAATCTTCTTGGACCTTCCCTTGCAGTTACTGCTTGAGCTTAATTACCTTGAATTGGAATTACATGAAGCTTGATTTTCTCTCCTTGTGTCAGGTGATGATTTAATACTCAGGTCTTCCCAATTAGTTGCAATCAACATGCTTCCTGATTTTAAGACTGTTTTTAACATTAAAAAAGGCACTAAAAGCCAGTTATACTTTAAAGTCAATTTTCTGCAAAGCACGAGGCACTTTTGGAAGCATCAAGAATGCCTCACAACAATCTTGGAAGTGGGGCTGAGGTTAAGATAGATCAAGTGGCAGCTGCCCCAATAGGGGAGGCTGGAAGAGCATGTTATTTTCAAAAACCTATTTCCAGGCACTCTAAACTTTCCCAGACTTTGGGAATTAACATTTGGCTGAATTAAAACCATATTTTTGCTTCTATAAAGCAACAGAGCTCCACTAGAGTTAGTGAAATACCTTTTGCTCCTGTGAGTGGAAATGGCCTCTGCCACCCAGCCAAGCTGGGGGGGTGGGGGGGAGCTGGGCCACCACGGAGGGACTGCCCAGGCTCCACCAGCTGTGAAGCATCCTGAAGAGCACCTAGTTAGCAGGATCCTTCGTTCTGCACTTAGGCATCCTAAATTGGGAACTCAGGCATGAACAAGCAGGCTAATTTTTTCCACGTACACACCATCAAGGGCACCTGTGTTACAAGCTATTTTTGTTCCGTCAAAATGGCAATCATTTTCTGCCTACTGTAAGTTGGATTCTGCTAGATGATCCCACAGCTGCTGAGATTTTTTTTCCTTAAATCAGGGTTTCACTTTCAAAATAGCCAACTACTTCACAATTTGGGAGTAACATTAAAGCATAAAACGTTCTTCACGTGAATCTGCTGAATTTTTTCTCTAGGTGACCTTTTTTTATTTCATGATGTAAAGACCAAAGTTTTCTCCTCCTAATGCTTCCACTCTTGTAGGATGAACAAAGGCTAATGTTTCCATTATTATATTACAGAAGGCATTGTGCAGGTCCTGCTCTCTTCAACAGGCCTTCTGTTACATTGTAAGAACTTCAAAATTCAAGGTGACATTTCCTGCCTGCTTTACACACCTTGGCAAAATGGAGCCCCATTCCTCCATGTGCCATGACAAAAATGCTGTTGCTATAGCAGTCGTCTTGGGAACATGCACAAAAGACAAGAAAAAGATTTTCTTCTGTAATAAAATGTCAGCCAACATGAACTAGGCATTTAATTTGAGTTTCCCACTGACCAAGGCTCAGATTTTGGCAGGTCTGGTACTCAGGAAAAGCATGACCTTCTGGTCCTGTAGCCTGGGCGTGTTAAAGCAGAAGATGAAGCAAGCTCCATCTAGCCTATGAGAAACCATGCAGGACAGTCACATAACACAAGCTACAGGAAAAGCAGGATGCAGTGAGTGACCTCCCACAGGTTGCTCTGGCAGGTCCTCACAGAGAGTCCCTTCAGATTGCCGTAGTTCAGAATTTGCTTCTGTTTATTTACTATAATAAGGACTTCATACTCATACACTTATTCATTACTACATATGCTTAGCCTCCACACCTCTCACTTAAGTCAACTGTGCACTTCACTGCATCCATTCATACATCATGGTCTTGAGAAGACGTTGACTGGACCCCAGCATACCAAGTGAACTTCAACTAAATCCATAGTCCTCAGTTCTCAGTGCTTGAAAATTCACCTACCAAGACTGGAGCCCAGACAAGCTGGGATGCTAATGAATCCTTGTAAAGTGAGTTATTTCTGCAGTAAGGTTTTGATTTTCTTTGCACAAAACATCAAAGTCTCACTGATAACTGCGTGCTGAAATTAACAAGAAACATGAGTTTGTTTTTTTAACTGCCTTACTTTAGAGGAAAATGGGAAATATTTTAAGAGCTATGTTGCAAGTCTAGCCTGAATGTCTTGACCTCTGGGATTACTTAGCCTTAACCCTAGATGTAGTAACTTCACCCTGTCTTTGAGGCAGAAATGTTGTTCTTGGCAGGATGCCCATCTCAGCATAAACTTTTGAGGCTTCAGAATATAATGTCTTCAGTGATCTCCAGGTGAGGAAAATGTCCCATTGATTAATATTACATCTCAGAAAGGCTGATACCATCATTCATTAAACTGACTCACAAGCAAGTATTTTTAATATATATATATATATATATATTTTTTTTAATTGAAAAAGGTCATCAGCTCTCACAACATAGGGCTGTGGTGTTGTTGAACTCTCAGTTCAACCCACAACCCACAGAACCCACAGGCTATTTGCAGACATAGCTATTTGCTGTGGCAAGGTTGTGCTGCTTCATTTCACTGGTGAGCAGGAGGAGGTGAGCCTGCCAGGCCTTGCAGGTTATTTGCTGCATTGTCACCTTATCAGATCTATCACAACAGGGCAGTGAAGGTCACCTTCGTGCTTGAGGAAAAATGTAAACACAAATAACTTTATTTATACACAAGTCCTTGAAAATGGGTGTTTACGAGCAGAGATAGATTTGAGAGGTATGTGATGCTCAGTCAAACATCAGAACTCAGTTCAGAAGACTCAGGAGTTGATTCCAAGTAGGCAGAAAGGCAAATCTTGCTGCAGTTCTACCCAATGGTGCAGCATTTTCCATAAAAGATCAAACTCAGTTACTTGAGTCAGAGACCTGAAGTCAAAATAAAGCTCTACCACACGGTGAATTCTGCCATATCAGCTTTATAAACATCCCTTACCTTTCAGCAAACTAGTGTCTGTCAAAACTTCCAAGTGAGGATTTCATTTTACCTAGAATTAAATGATCACAAAGACAGCACAAATTCTCCTGACATGCTGCTGCTTACATGGGGAGAGAACACAGACCTATTTTTTACTCATCTCACTCAAGTCAGTTTTAGGCTAAGATGGAAGTTGTTTAGAGACTGCAAATATTTGTCTGGATCCACAGTAAAAGTGTGAGAAATAGTTGGCAATGTACTGGCCTTGGACCTGGGAAATTGTGATTCTGCTCCTCAAGCATCCCAGGTTTCCTGCGGGAGAACAGTGCAGCCAAGCTCTGCTGTGGGGAGCAGCAACAGTTTCCACGTCCACTCAGCTCCTCCCTCTAAAACTGAGGTAAAATGTAACAGGAGTACTAGGATGAGAAACACAAACCAGTATTCAGATACCACGGTAAAAGTGCTATGTATACACTTCCAGATAACAGCAAGAGATGTTTGTTCTACATGATAATCATTGTGACATCCCAAACTCACTGCACCGCGTTCATTTATCAGCAAGACACTACCATAAAAACATCATGCCTTCCAAGCACTATGACATTCTCTTCCTGCAGATGGCTGGAAATGTTCTTAGATACAATATGTGCAATTAGCTTGCTGATGAAATTAGTGCTCTGAAATGGTTAGTTTTATAAATGTCCATGTTGCTCCCCTTGTGGTTATTACTGCTTTAACCTCTTCGAGACCTTGGCTGAAAGCATCTTCTCAGGATTGCATTACTGAAAGGGCAAGTCAGGAAAAAACATATCCCAGTGCAAGTGGAGAGGAAAGATGGTGTTCCAGGGAGAATGATTTCCCTGCGGCTCAGACAATCTGTGTTCTGATCCGCTGCTTTCAGACACGTATTTCCATTTCTGCTTCAGCAAAATAGGGATGGTGCAACTGACTGCCCTGGCTTCTGGCCAGTTACCACTGGCTTCTGGCTCTATCAATAGGACACATTTCTGAGAAATTTTCAAAAGACCTGAGCATGTATTACTAATGTATTACTAATGAGTGAGGAGAAAATCACCTGGGTCTGGTTACAATCATGACGTTTAAAATGGCTGTCAGTGGGTGAGGTTCTGCTAATTTATCACCAACCCAGGTCAGTGCCAGAGTGAAGGAAGTCCCTGTGGCCTGCTAGGGCAGCATTAGCTACAACAGCAGATAAAGTGGATCATTAAAACAAATTCTAAACCACTTGTTGTCTGCACAGCTAACTCTACCACCTGTCCCATACATTGTGTGGTATTTCTGGTTAAGGTGAGTTCTGAAGAAGGAGCTTCCCCTTAACTTGCACTTGTGCAATGCATAGCAGCAGGAGGATCTGATCCTCATTGTATGCAGAGAGATCATAACAAATGTTTCAGCAGTTACAAAAAGAAAAAGAAAAAGAAAAAGAAAAAGAAAAAAAAAAGAAAAGAAAAGAAAAGAAAAGAAAAGAAAAGAAAAGAAAAGAAAAGAAAAGAAAAGAAAAGAAAAGAAAAGAAAAGCAGTCAACTGCTGCATCCAACCATGGCAGTTCAGCAGGGCTCCCTCGTCACAGTAGTATATGCAGATCTACTTTGGTGAACTTTTCCATCTTCTCCTGTTTCCTGCAGGGGTATTATCTGTGCTTGCAAGGATTCAATTAATGCCATTGATGTGGAATGTTGTTCCATTCATCACCAGCCACTGCATCTAATGAATAGGATAATCTAATTCTCCCCAAATAAATATGACACCAAATTAAAAGAGTTCATAAGCAGCCTCCAAAATGGAGTGAGTTTGTTTCAATTTATTGCATTTTAAATTACACTGGATCTCTCAAGTACCAACCTCATATAAACAAGTGAATGGCTGAGGCTGAATGTTTATTATCACAAATGTTTCCCTCTTCTATACCAGAATTGAGTCTTAGTATTAGATGGAAGAACAGCTAACAGAAGGTCATCCAAGTGCCACAGTTTTTAACCATGATTTTTCTAAACCAGTGAGAGAGTTTTAAAGCACAATGCACTCACAAAAATATTTTTTCTTGTGTTTACTGTCATCATAACATTTAACAAAGTGGCTACAACCTACTGATATAATATGTGAAAAGTTCACCAAAAAAGTAAAAGAAAAAAGTAATAATGCCCATTTAGTACTTGGCTAGTTTAAGAAAAGGTTTCTCTCTATCAGTAAAAAAACTCACACCAGCAGCTCTTCCAGCTTTTTGTCAGGTCTCATTTCCTTTGGGAAA